TTTTATATCTTCATAAAAAGGAAATCTTAAATTATCATAAAAGCGCCAAACCGCTGTTATGTTTTCTGTTTCATGTGAAAAAAGTATTTTGTAAAATTAATCTTGACTTAACAGCTATAATAGTGAAAACAAAAGTGGCGAAATTTCTTTACTGTCAATTTATTAGAACAGTTTTATAAATGTAAGTATTAAATGTTAGCATTATAATTCTCAGTAAGCAACAGATCTGAATTGTTGATATTAAACATAAAACAGTCTGGTTTATTGAAACAACTTAACAGTTTTGTTTGTGGAAGAAGAAGTTAGGATTCTTAACAAAACAACGGTTTTCCTCCTTGCTTTTACTGAACAACGAAGGGAAATGAAGAACAGTGAAAAGAAATGAAAACAGTTAGTTATAAAAAGAAGCTGAAAAAGGAAATGAAAAATTTAAAGCAATTACAGACCAGATTTGATTTAGATTTGACTATTTTGGCGAACTACTGGAGCAAACGATGTCCGGACTTCGGTATCTAAGAGAACGTTGTTATCATGAGCTGTTTGAAAGTTTGTACACCAAACTGCAACAATTGGCACACTATTTTTTGTACTATTCAATCATTGTTGCAAAACAACCACCATCTGTGGTTGTAAAATGTGGCGAGGCTGAAAATCATCGGCGAAGTCGATTTTGGTTTAACACTGAAATCAGGTATTACACAAAGTTTTGTTGTTCAAGATTAAAGATTGGTTCTGTTTTCGAAAAAAGAAAAAAAAACCAAAAAAAAATTAGTTGATTGATAAAAAACAATCAAATTTTAATTGTTTGCTGGGAAAAAATTGGTATATTTGTGCGAATTCAGAGTGCTTGGTGGGCGAGCATTTAATGTGGATAGTGAAGGTGATGGTGTCGAAGTGAAATGCTTTCTGATAACTGACGATACTGCCAAACAACTTCTGAACAACGCTTATCACGATATGTCTGTTTTAATTCTGCAAAGGAAAAAAGAAATAATAATGATAGAATAAAAGAAAAAAAAAGAATAAAAAAGAATAAGTGAATAATTGTTATACGTTATCTTTCGTTTACAATAAGTCTACTTTGACGAAATACTGTTGAACATGACGTCAAAATTGAATTAAATGGTACATTAATTTATTTGAAATAAAAAATAGTGAAAAAAATGTTTCTTTTGCTATGATTCATCGCCAACAGCAAAGTTTTTTGAGTTGAAGAACAGCAAAACTTTTTTGCAACCTTGCTTTTGTTCGCTTTTTTTTTGGCTCTTTCCTAACAAAATTAAGTTAACCGTAAAAAAGGTTTTACCACTGTGTCATTTCAAACTAAAAAAAAATCTTTGAATTTTAGGTATTCCAATAAAAAAACAGTGTTGTTTTTTTACAAGGACTTACTTATCTATGAATGTAACTGATGTCAGTTAAGAGAAAAAGAAACAAAAATTTTACAACTTTTTTGTAAATGAGAATGTGAGAAGATAATCTGGATAAAAACTGTAGTATAACAAAGGAACCAAATGATTGCAGATTTGAAAACGAAGAATTTGCTATCGAACCACCATGTGCAGTGTTTCAATGCAAAGAAAAACTTGGATTAAAAGCCACCTTTGATGATATGGTATGTTCCTTAATTTGCACTACCGTTTACTGACTGATTTTACTGCGGCAAATCTAATATTTATAGCTTAGGACAGAAACTCGACTTATGATTGTCATTGTCACTTATCACTTCTAAATGCTTCATTCGTTTGAAGAATTGAAAAGTTTTGACTGCAATGTCTTGACAGATTTGCCCAACAATTCAACCTTCCTCAGTTTATGTTTCAACATTTCGTTGAACAACCAGAAAGGAATGCTCTTTTACATCTAAAATGAAACCCTAATAAAACAGAAAAAAAAATGCTTTTCACTTCTATTTTTTCCACTAAATTTCAAAATTTCGTATAGAAGAAAACAGCACTAACACTTCTTTATTGCTTGTTTAATGGTACAGAATGTATTTTATAATTTTTTAAAAAAAAATTTGTTTTTGTTCAACTTTTGACCGCTTCAACAGACAATCACTGATATTTCAACTTTGTTTTTTCACTTGTTCAACACAAAAAAAAAGTCAAGAAAAATTAAGGATGAAAAAAAAGCTCAGGATTAACATTGAATAAGATGTTTGCAGTGAGTGTTGAATAAAATATGTGCCAAAATTTGCAACAAAAAACCCACTATTTAACAGTGTTCAACTTGACAAATTTTCTTTGAAATGGCTGTATCTTTCTTTTTTTTTTTCAAAAATTTTTATTATTTATAAAAAAAAAATATTTTTACATCTTGTCCTTAATTTATTATTCAAATTAGAATCTGTTTATCAGGCTTTTTTCAACGTTTACTGCATTCGTGAGATATATGGTTCTTAACCAAATAAATACAAATTAAAATTGAAATTGTTTATTTAGCGATAATAAATAAAAAAAATTGGGATGTGGAGCATATTTTTTTGTATTTATTCAAACTAATGCCATTGCTTACTTTAGAGGGTGGCCAAAAAGAGTCAATTGCGCAGAGATTCTGTAGCCACCAAACGATACTGCCTGTGTTATAACATACAACTGAAGGCTGCTCACGGTATAACACTGATTGGTAAAAAGGTATCACTACCGTTTGCAATTCTTGTTGGACCAAAAACTGATGTCGAGGCTCGCCTATTTCTTGAACGTTCATTTGCTGACCTTGTAAAGTTTTCTCTTCATCTTTTTTAATATCATATCAAATAAAGTTGAAAAGAAAAAATTGTTTTTTTTGTTCTGAAACATCAAACAAAAAAAAA